GTGGCCAGACCGGGAACAATTGCTCATTACAGTCAGAAATTGAACTGAGTCACTTCGACGCGCAGGAGACGTTTCCAGGAGATTGACATTAGAAGTGAAAGCTACAACCAAAACTAGATTTGTTAAGAGTTATTACCTCCGCCAAGGAAGTTGGGGTGGAGGTTATGTTTTCGGCCCTGTTTGTCTGTCTGTCTGTCTGTTTGTGAACAACATAACTCAAAAAGTAATGCACGGATTTGGCTGAAATTTTGTAGGTGCATTGCTATTACATCAAAGATGGACCCTATTGATTTTCACCGCGATCAGTGAAACAATATGGCCGCCACGGCAGCCATCTTGAAATCGTATGACACGCGATAACTCAACTTTGCTCCCACTCATGAAGATTTGGATTATGCTGCCTTGGCTGAGGTTTGCACTCTGCAAGTGCCTCTAGTTTCATTCTAAGTCAGGCTACCATCTCCTGTAGCTTGTCAAACGCAGTCTTATGGCTCACGTGTGGACTTCTTCGAAATGATCAGTTGAAATAACCAATTGAGTAAAATGTTTTATAAATATTCAGTATTAAACCAGCTCTATCAGTGTTGATGAGTCCATCAGGGCCAAATTCAAACTCTGAGTTGAATTATAACTTTAGGGATTGCAGTGTGAATCAGTTTAATTTTCTTGAGCATATTTTCCCACCTAAAGCTAATTTGATCAGTTTTAGGGAATATTTTATTGTTACCTGCGTGTTGGTGGGGAGCCTTATAGAATGAATTACAATATTTATCTTGTAATTTAATTGTAATATTTAGTAGCACATTCAGAGTAAATGTCAGATTATCATCATTAGGTGATATATCCACATAGGCAATCTTGTTTCATTTCTTGGCCCAGGCAATGAAAATATCTTGTTCACAGCTGAACTTCATCCGTTTTTTGTCAGGCAGTGAAACAGCGTTGCCTCACCTTTTCGTTTATTTAAAAAAGAAACAACCATTTAGAGTTCATTCAGAAGGAGACTAGAAATTATATATTAAAAGTTTTTATTTTAGGCCTAGTTTGGGTCTATTCCGCTTCTCTGAAATGTGCTTTTATCCTTTCTGAACTGGGAGGATAATTCCTTCGGCAAAATTTCACTCGCTGAAGCAGAGAAGAGAATATGGCTCAGGAGGCTGTGTGTGGCAATGGCCAAAGCTGAGAAATTAGACATGTCTCAGACGTTATTGTCACTCGATATCCTGTCTGTCATAACTGAACATGTTTTAGATTTTTTGAAATTAAAGTAAAATAGATGGAATTTAGATTGTGGGAGTGACAGAAATGAGTATGCATAGTTCGTCCTTTACATAAAATTTTAATCGCAAGCAAATATCTTTTAGGAAATCTATGTTGAATTGTATCTGGACAGCTCTCGGAAGTTAAGGTAAACTATTACCTCAGTGTCTCCCGAAATGTGATTCGCCTTTATTAATATTTCCACATCATTGTAACATCATGACTTGTGCTCTTTAGGTTTCCCAATTCCAGTGTACTGTCTCTCTTCATTATGCTTAAACTTATTAAATTATCAGGCAGAATTTCCTTAACAAAACCCAAAACCAGTAAGCAAAAAACAGAATATTTCTATTAACTGTTTAATGTTCAAACTGAGAAACTTTATTTTTTTTTGCAAATAATCATTAACTTAGAATTTAAAGGCAGCAACAAAAAAAAGAGGGGCCTTTTTTACCACTGTGTTACATCACCTTTCAAAAGTAAACGTTTGGGGAACTATTTTGAAGCTTAAACCCATTCTTGCTTGATGTACAGCTTAAGTTGTTCAACAGTCCGGGGTCTATTTTAAATTTTTCACTGGTCTGGACTACAGGCAGGCCAGTCTAGTACCGGGGAGCCATGCTGTTGTACAAAGAATGTGGCTTGGCATTGTCTTGCTGAAATAAGCAGGGTGTCCATGAAAAAGACGTTGCTTGGATGGCAACATATGTTTCCAAAACCTGTATGTATTTCAGCATTAATGGTGCCTTCACATATGTTTTGCCCATGCCTTGGGCACTAATACATACCATCACAGATGCTGGCTTTTGAACTTTTATGCCTATAACAGTCCGGATGGTTCTATTCCTCTTTGGTCCGGAGGACACGACGCCCTCAGTTTCCAAAAACAATTTGAAATGTGGACTCGTCAGACCACAGAACACTTTTCCACTTTGCATCAGTCCATCTTAGATGAGCTTGGGCCCAGCCCGGGCGGGCGCTTTCTGGGTGCTGTTGATAATGGCTTTCGCTTTGCATTGTAGAGTCTTAACTTGCACTTGCAGATGTCGCGACGAACTGTAGTTACTGGCAGTGGTTTTCTGAAGTGTTCCTGAGCCCATGTGGTGATGTCCTTACACACTGATGTCGGTTTTGATGCAGTACCGCCTGAGGGATCGAAGGTCTGGCATTCAATGTTGGTTTTCGCCTTGTCGCCACGTGCAGTGATTTCTCCAGATTCTCTGAACCTTTTGACTTTATTCCACCGTAGATGATGAAATCCCTAAATTTCTTGCAATAGCTCGTTGAGGAATTTGTTTTTAAACTGTTCGACAATCAGCTCACGATTTGTTCACTAAGTGGTGACCCTCGCCCCATCCTTGTTTGTGAATGACTGAGCATTTCAGGAAGCTGCTTTTTATACCCAATCATGGCACCCACCTGTTCCCAATTAGCCCGCTCACCTGTGGGATGTTCCAAATAAGTGTTTGATGAGCATTCCTCAACTCTCTCAGTCTTTTTGCCACTTGTGCCAGCTTTTTTGAAACATGTTGCAGGCATCAAATTCCAAATGAGCTAATATTTGCAAAAAATTACAAAGTTTACCTTTTGTTTACCTTTTGTTCGAACATTAAGTAACTTGTCTTTGCAGTGTATTCAATTGAATATAGGTTGAAAAGGATTTGCAAATCATTGTATTCTGTTTTTATTTACGATTTACACAGCGTGCCAACTTCACTGGTTTTGGGTTTTGTATATATTCAGGTTGAGCATCATGTGAAATCCTTGCACATTGAAGCGATCTGAATTAAGGCACCGCATCTGCGTTCATCGGGTTGAATATGGTAGCAATCTCCCTCACAATTCAAAGGAAACTGCAGCTTTCATCCATGGTAGGGATAATTGCCGTCGGATTTGAAATTATGTGATCAGTGTCGGCAGTTTCTTGAAGGAGGCTGTCTTATTGAACAAAGTTGTGCTGTTGCATTTGAGACTAGCCTGCATATTCAATGACAGGAAACATTCTGATTCAGTGTTTAACAAATGTTTATTTAATGTTCATAACGTTGGAAGGAGAACTATTTGCATTGGCCTCCTCTGATCAATTGAAACTATTTAAGATGTCATGTCCGGTTGAGGTGCCAACCTACTGGCTCTTTGTGTCACGAGTCGCATGAAAGCCTATCCACCTGCGTGATTTGACAGTCAGATAACATGGCAGCCCATAGGAAGCCCGTGGTTTCCCGCTTTGACAAACCTGCAGCTGTGGCTCAGGTAATGTTGTTCAAATATGGTCAGCAGAGCGTGAAATTTCACGTATACATTTCCAAATGTAAAAATTCTCCGCACAGGTCAGTGGTTGCACATGGATTTGACTAAGCATGTTTGGATTTGGAATAGGACATCCTGTCAGGAGGAATGCTAGTTTAGTATTAGATCAATAGAGGCAGGCAATCAACTAGGAAATGAAGGCTGAGATATCACTGCTCTGTAAAATGTTGTTCCGTGAACACTATTGATTATGGCCACAGTTTGACTTTTGACATTATTTTTCTTTTTTTTTTTTTTTTTTTTTCAGTTTAAATTTTTTTTAGCTCTTTCTTTGTAAACCCTGCTCTGCCAAACGGCCGGGGACCCAGAGCAGCAGAAGTGTAGATTTTCTAATGAAAATCCATGCCGATATTGGACCCATGAACAAGGCTTTTCATCCCACATTGCTCCAGGGGAATTGGCCACTACTCGATTGAATCAACTGTTAATTTCTTCTGATAGAAGCATCAGCTCAAAAAGCAGGTGACAGTGTTTTAGTTTTAAAGTATTCCCCGGCCAGTGAAGTTGTCATGATACATGCATTCCCTGGCCAGTGAAGTTGTCATGATACATGCATTCCCCGGCCGATGAACTGGTCGCCATACAATTTCTGCCTCCCATCCCTGGGACATTTGCTCCATTGAACTGTTATATTTCAACCGCTGGACTGACAGTCAACAGGCAGCACGCCAGACTCATTGCTGATCATGCAGATATAAGCTCTTATTCTTAAACATTTCATCAGATAATCGTGCTATTGTCTCCAATACATAAACTGCTACAAATATTTTAGCAGCCGGCACAAAATCAAAAGTTAAGCAGTGTATGGAAATTTATCTTAATTGCTCTGTAACATTCTGAAAATGTTGAAATATAAAATTCCACATGTTCTCCAAATGTGTTTTAATAGAAGAGTCACTCAGTACTTTTTATTTGGACAATCTTAACGTGGTTGCGCATAGCAGAAAGTTAACATGGGTGCAGTACTGAGGCTTAACCTACCTCTAAGGAAACCCTCTAAAGCTTAAGGCATTGTTTGGAAACAACCATGCCTTCGGGTTTTCTGAAAAACCTGACAGGATTGTCAGAGTTCGCTAAATTCTTCAATTTTTCAGCCTTTGTGGCCCGTAGAAACATGAAAAAAATTATTTGAGAATTTAAACCGTTGGCTTTTGTTGGTGATATTTGCCTTTGCCCAAATGTTTATTAACACATTTTACAAAACCCATGAACAATAAAAGGGGAAAAAAACATTTAACAGTGATTTATTTACCAGTCAGGGTTTTTCCTACAATATGATGGCTTTGGTGCTGTGCCTTAGAGTATTTGCTGAGCGCCTAAGCCGAATGATCATAAAAATGCAAATAACGGTGAGCATCATATAGGCTGACAAAAAAATAAATAAAAACCAAGAGGTGGCTTGATCTTAAAGGAAAAAATCGCCCTGGGGCGCCCCGGTGGCTCATCGGTCTAAGCGCGCGCACCATCAAGGCTGTGGCCTTCCTGCGGCGACCCGGTTCGATTCCGGCTCGGGTCATTTGCAGCATGTCTTCCCCATTCTTCTCCCCAACTTTCCTGTCTCTCGCTACTGTGTGACTATCAAATAAAGGAGAAAATCTCAAAAAAAATCTTTAAAAAAAAGGAAAAGTTCGCCCAAATATGAAAATTCACTCACCATCTACTCACCCCAAGGGTAATCGAAGGGTCCATGAATTTCTTTCTTCCTCAAAACACTTTTCGAGTTACAAAGAAAAACAGCATTGAAGACAAATCCAAATCAATTGAAGTCAACGGAGACCACTTTTTCAAGCGTAAAAAACATAATTTAAAAACCACAAAATGCCTCCATACTGCTCATGCGGCATAATCCAAGTGTCCGTAAGCCCCGATATTCAAATTTGACTCATAAAGACATCTTTTCACTATATTTTAGCCTAAATATCCAATGTAGCCACTTAGCTAAGAGCCCTGTTTATTTTCGTGGAAGAAGTTGACCTCGCTAAGTTTGCTGACCATAAAAATGCGCTGTTCAGTCACTGAATACAAACATTCAAAACTGCAGCGCGTTTCTCCAATTGGAGATGTTTAGGGCCGTTGCAGAATTTTTTGCCCTCGTTGGCCACCGTAGCTAGAGGTCTTGAATTTTAAACTTCTTCCGTGAAAATGAACAAGGCGGCTACATTGGACATTAAGCCTAAAAATATCGTGAAAAGATGTCTTTACAAGTCAAATTTGAATGTCGGGGCTTACGGACACATGGATTGTGCTACAAGAGCAGTATGGAGGCATTTTGTGGTTTTTAAATGTTGTTTTTTACGCTTGAAAAAGCGGTCTCCGTTGACTTCAATTGATTTGGATTTGTTTTCAATGCTGTTTTTCTTTGTAACTCCAAAAGTGTTTTGAGGAATAAAGAAATTCATGGACCCTTCAATAAGCCTTGGGGTGAGTAGATGATGAGTGAATTTTCATTTTTTGGTGAACTTTTCCTTTAAATGGAAAGGTATCCTGGTAACAAGAATGACCTGCCAATGAACAATTGGTGTTTAGACAAACTTTTGTATGATTGGAGTGGTTCAGAATCTCCTCCCCAAGCTATTCACACAGCTGATTGGATATTTTTCTGCAACATCAATGCTGGATGGTAGTTTCAGCCATAGATTTAGAACACTAGATGCCGCACACTGATGGGCAGGATGCCTGTGTACGGCCGCCATATTGGGGCGGTTGCTCTCAGCAGTTTGCACAAACTTGTAACCATAGGAACGAAAGTCTGAACTTGATCCAAATTACTAGGATGCCGCAGTTTTGTGTAGCATTTGGATGCGTTAATAAGCTTATGGTGGAGACAAAAGTTCATGGGATCACTTTCCACAAGTAAGTATTCAAAATTATCACAAATTATGGAAGAAAAACAATTTTTAGTTCCCAACTTGAGCACAAATCATGTGAACTGTGTGTCTGCATCTCCGTGTTAGTTACTCTGTCACTGATAAGCACAAGGCCAGTGCAAGTTTTTAGCTAGTCATGTAGGTCTATAATGTTTTGATAACTGGCTGTTGGTTTTGATGATTGTACTAAAAAGTGTGGGATATTATGTTACTCCCGTTATTTAAGGAGAAATTGTTGCTAGGCTCTAACGTAGGCTATATAAATTAATCTGAAATGTGGCTTCAGTGCTAATAAGAGAGTTAACGGAAGTAGCCACAAGGTCCACAGAAGTGAAGGTTATCACTTATTTCCATCTGGCAAATGGACATTTAGGGTTAGGGTTAAGTTTAGGGCTACCACTAGGGTTCGGGAAATAAGCGACGAGCCACGTATGCATTTACTGGGGATCACATCACGTCATGTCAGTTTGGCGGATGGAATTAGGTGACTACTTGTTGTACCCTTGATTTATTATTGCTCGGAATTGCCGGATATTTCTCGTAGGAAACCTTCAAATATCTTGGAAAAGGCCATCTATTTATTTCTTTACTGTTTACGCTTCAGTTGCTAAGGCATCATCGCAAGCATACCCAATTCCAACAAGAAATACAAGACTTCTCTACTTTTTTTTTTTTTTTTTTTTTTTTTACTTGCCTTTATATGGGCCTCCAGGCTGACTTTTACTGCTCTAATGTGGCGACCGTAAACATGATAGACCGGAGTGGGGCATGTGGCATCTAGTGTTATATATCTATGGTTTCAGCCATCACTCGAAGGGGAAAGCCTCAACAAATGTCCAAAGGGGAGGTTTTATAAACTTTTTAATTAAAAAAAAAAAAAAAAAAAAATCCATGAAAATGCATGATTTCAAGGCCATTTGATTCCTGTTTTTCAAACCTCTGAAAAACAGGCTGTTTTGAGCAAAAATATTGGTCGAGCTTTATCAATCGATGATCTCAAAAATTAAAAGAATTGTGTGTTAGAAGTTACAGTTAGGCGTGAGGTCTCCTGTAGGTTGAATCTTGGGGTTAAGACAAAGATTATTAGGTTAATAAACAACTTTTTAGGTTGCAGTTTTGTTAGCTTATCCAACATGCACCAAGATAGCCAGCGAACAGGCCCTTGGCTGGTCTTTTAGCAGTGTTTATTCTTGAATTCGGAATTCTTGCGGCCCTCTTTTTCCTCGCTCGCCCCAATACCCGAACTGTTGACCGCGCACCGCAGGAACTCTGAATTTGAGAATAAAAACCGCTAAAAGACCAGCCGAGGGCCTGTTTGCAGGCTAGCTCCAAGACGACCTAATGTGAGCTGAGGACAGCGTGCATCAAGCACTCCGTGACGCAGAACATGAGGCAACACCCACCAGAGTCCCGAAGGGAGTGTGGAGGAAGGAGTGGCTTTGTTCATTTACAAACTGAGTTGGTGCTTTTGCCACCACTTTGTGGTCATAAATTTCTTTGTGTGGCTTTTAAGGGAATAAAGTCACATGCTCAGCAATGTAATTAGGATATTGATTTGCCACTGTTATTAATTCGGTCAGTTAAAAATGTTTGGCCTTTTTGCAAATATTTGGACAAAAAAAAAAGGCGATTTAATTCTACGTGGCAAAGCATGCAGTGAAAGCAATTTGAACAGCGTTGCTAAAGAGGGTAAATAATGAAACATGAAAAGGACCTCGTTATGGATAAATTACAGCTGTTTATAATTGTGATTGCCGTTGGAATAAAAATCGGCATTCACAAGGGGTCTCTCTCGCTCTCTCTCTGTGCCTCTGGTCTTGGTAATCTTGTTGCATCCTTGATAAACTGGCACTTTTAATGTGGGCTGCCTGCAGTCATTGCAGTAGTATCATTGGCCCATGTTATATTAGATGCGTTGCCATATAGGCTACTGTCATTTCCAAAAGGTTATATAGCCTACTTCAATCTGTAAATATTTTGCCTACATTCCGTATTGCCTGTCCAAACCGATTTCTTTACAGCCAACAGCACAGCTATTCGAGTGTACTATTCTTCATATCTACTGTTCTTACTAATATTAAATTTGAACTAACTGGATCAATTGTACAAGAACACAATCCAAGTTAAGCATTCAAGTTGATTTCTGAAAGATTATGGAAATACCCTGCTAGAACTGGAAAGAAATTAATTCAGTCAAAGATCCACATAAATAAAATCACAAGAAAGACCTAAAGTCAATTTTATAATTAAGCCCAGGTAATTGCATCCTATCAAATTGGAAAATAGTGAATATTGTATCTGAACATGACTCCGAACAGTGTGCCGATTGAAAGCTGAACATTGGCTTCTTAACTCTGTGCCAGTGTAGCTAACTAAATAAAAATTTAATGAGCAAACTGGTTCAGTTGACTAGGATATGAGATGTCTTTGCCCATTTAAAAAAAAAAAAAAAAAAATCTGGTAGTGGGCAACAGTAGGTAACGAAGTCCTCCGATGTTACTGCAGTCCGTTTGAGGGCTGGCTCAGCGCACTTTGGCCCGACTCCATGGGTAGTCCATTGCAGGCATGGCTCAGGACAACTTGGTGCGCTTGAAGTAGGAATGGAAGTTAACTCTGCACAGCACGGTTGGAATTGGCGCGGCCACAAATGTCAATGGAAAAACGTCATATGGGAGTTTGGCCCGTGTTACCTCATATTTATACCCCCATGAAGGAGGAAGATCAAGTTAACCACTTTAGAGTTCCTTATCAAACATGCCAGCTCAGAAATGTAAATTATGACTTGAGATATACTTCAGTCAGATATTATTCACAGGATTTTTATGGGACCAATAATTGGGCTGTTTTAGAGAAAAATGTTTATTAAATAGTTTATTACATAGTTAATAATTTTTTTATAGAAATATTTTTTATTTTGATTAAAAGCTATGATATTTGTGAAAATTTTGAGTGAAAGACCAAGAAGATTAGCAGCAAAGACTTCTTTTTTCACAGCTTGTTATGCTTATGTCCACTAAGGATGGCAATAATTCTTGAGGGCACTGTACATTAAGGCCTGTGGAATTATCACTTTTAAGCAATAATTAATCTAGTTCTCCTTTACTTGGCGTGATTAGAAATCTAACAATTCATTAGCTCAGTTGCTAATTCAAAGTGGTAGACTGGCTGATTTATTTAGATAGCATTTTTGTTTGTTGCATTTGGAAATATAAATGCTCATAATATAGCATGGAGTTGTGATAATGAGTGTTTTTGCTTGGCTTTTTTCGCATTTGGCCATTTCATGTGAATGCATAAATAGTGCTTATTTTCCATTCATGTTCAGTACATTCAACACATTTTTTTCCACCTTATTTATGTTTTCAGATGCTTAAAATCCAGGGCCACCTTAAAATGAACCTCTGTATTTGTTAATAGTATTTGATAATCTCTTAAAAATGCTACCATGGGAGTTGAAATTCAAAGGAAGATTTTTTTTCTAAATAATTAGATTATTGCATTTTTTACTATCTCATATAGTGGTTTAGTTATACTTATCTGCTTCTGTTGATCACTTCTTAATGATTGTAGGCTGCATTTTGGTTTTGGTTTTTGGTAAGTAAATTGCTTGATTGTTATTACAGTAAATTACATGGGAACAGATTGTGCA